CAATCATCTTCATCATTCAACAGTCATCTTCATCAGGGTAGACTTTGATGCAACTGAAAATTCCTTCCTGTAAATATCAACCAATTGAAGAAGAAACTGCTTTTGGTTTTCATCTTTTGTAACGTTTTTTGTGACATTTTTTTTTTCTATTACAATATATATAAATATTTATTCAGAATTAGAAATTTACAATACAAAAATTATTAAAAATTCTAATGAACTAATGCGACACCAGGCACTACTATGCTGACAGCTTAAAGACACGCGCTGTGTCTATTGCTTGTTATTTTTCCATCAATGTGATCCTTGAAGAAATTTAACGAGACTGCATATGTTGCTTTTGCAGGAAGCGAGTTCCATACATTTACCACGCGGTGAGTGAAGAGATGCTTCCTCTCTTCGCAATTTTTGACTACTTGCTTTATTAATCATCGGTTGCATCCTTGTAGGCAGTAATTTACTATTGATGGCGCGTACACCTGTGGTACGGCAAATTCTATTTTTTTGATGCCTTGAACGATTTTAAATTGCTGTATCAAATCACCTCGATTTCTTCTTTCTTCAAGAGTTGTGAGTCCAAGGATTTGGAGCCTCTCCTCATATGATTTATGTTTGATTTTTGTGACTGTTTTTGTTGCTCTTAGAATGCATTCTAGCATAATTATATCTCATTGTAGATGTGGAGACCAAGCTTGTAAAGCAAATTCAAGATGTGGTCTGAAATATTTGGTGTACAAGACTTTTCACAAGGAAAGTCCTCTGCTTCTAAAAGCTTTTTAAGAGAGCCCAACATACAATTGGTTCTTGCTGATGCCGCTTCTACTTGATATTTCACTCTCAAGTCATGAGAAACAATTTTTTCCAGATCACTTTCATTATTCGTGCTTTCAAGGGTTTTTCTGTTTCCTAATTGATGGAACATTGTATAGTCTTGAGTCGATTTGTTGATTAGGCGTCCAACATGCATGACTTTGCATTTTGCCACATTCAACTCCATGAGCCATATTTTGGACCAACGTACTACTTCGTCTTTATCATTTTGTAACGTTACAGCGTCTGCCTTGCTCTTTATTAAGCCTATAATCTTGCTGTCGTCAGCGTACATTTTAATTTGATGTGCTATATTATCAGGTAAATCGTTTATATAGAGTATGAATAATAGAGGTCCATGCACTGAACCCTGTGGAACACCACTTATGACTTTCTTCCTATCTGATTTATGATTACTGATTGTTACTTTTTGTTGTCGGTTCGCCAGCCAGTTATCTATCCACTCGAGTAGAGTTCTACATACACAGTATGATTTAAGCTTATGAAGTAGCCGCTTGTGTGATACTTTATCAAACGCCTTTGCAAAGTCAGTAAGTCAGTATAGATAACGTCTATGGCATAACCTTCGAAAATTGCATTTGTTAATGTCTCTTGTTTCTAATAAATTAGTGGCACAACATTGTCCAGGAAGAAAACCATGCTGGTCTTTAGTGATTAGGTTATTTATGATGCAATGCTTCATTATGATATCGTGAACAAAACTCTCCATTACTTTGAAAGAGACAGATGTTAGAGATACCGGTTGATAGTTTTTTTTTTTTTACTCCCTTTTTTAAAAATTGGTGTGATATTTGACTTTCTCCATAATTCAGGTATATGACTTTCAGCAAAAGACTTTTGGAATATGAGTGTGAGTGGCACAGCAAAAGCAGAGGAACAGTTTTTTAACACCTGGGGGTGTACTCCATCATGACCTTTAGACTTCAATTCTATTAGGTTTTCAAGCTTTTCTCTGATATATGATTGTTTTATTGAGAATTCGTTTATTTCGCATTTGACTTTTTTTCTATTTTTGAATTGCGGCATTTGTTCGTATCGGTGATGAATACTGATTGAAAATATTCATTTATTATATGGGCAATTTCTTCTTCGTTCGTTGTAATTTGACCTTCATTATCTTCCAGAGATCTTATTGACTCTTTGTTCATTTGCTTATGTCGTACATATTCATGTAAGTGTTTAGAGTCCAATTTAAATCGATTTGCAATTTTTTTTGTCATATGCCTTGGTTGCAGATTTGATGACCTTCATCACGTTTTTACATGCATCTCGATGTTCTTTTTTAATTACCTCACAAGAATTATTTCCTGCTTTAAGATATTTGCTCCAGAGTATTCTTTTTTTTTTAACTGCCTCCTTGACTTCTGGAGTGTTCCGTGGTTCTTTCTTTTCAATAAATGGTTTTGTAGTTGATGGGATGTACAACTCAACAGCCTCGTTATACCTGTCAATGAATACTGAGGAGTTATCGTTCACCTAAAAGTTTTTGAATAGGTTGTACCAGTCGTATGCTAGTATTCGTGTTGAAATAGATTTATAGTCTGCTCTATTCCTGATATATCTTTTTTTTTTCGAGTCATTTTCATTTCTATAGTTTATTGTAAATGATCCAATTATAAAACAGTGCGATTGGCCTGCGGGTGTATGACCTAAAGAGTCACCCTTTTCTATTTCTTTGATTCTGTCTAGGTCATCTGTGATAATAAGGTAAAGTGTGTTTTTTGGATCCTCTTATTTGGAGTTACGATACGTTAGGAAGATCACCACTTGAGTGAGATGATTTTCAATTGAACATTTCTGAAATTTGAAGTCTATTTGTTGTTCTTCTT